TTTCTTTTCGCAAACACTTCACCCTCAACGGAAATCAAACCGGCATCTCTTCCCTCTTCCGAGGGTGTGGTTCACTGGGACAGAAAGCGACTTTTTCACGTCTTCGCAGCGCGAGATAGTCGCTTTCGGTCCTGGTAAACCACACCTCCTCTTTCGCTTGAGGCAAAAGTTTTGCTCCATAGTCTGTGAAATAATGCCACAGTTTTATGGAAAAGTCTGGATAAGAACAAATATTTTTCAAAAGACCCAACTCTAAAAGACGACCAGGAGAGCCAAGCAATAACTCGAAACCGAACCCACACCGCTCGCATGTAATGCGATGGGTGGACCAGAGAATTAAAAAAATAAGCAAAAAATCAGGGAGATAATGGTCTACCTGTCTTTGTTGTAGTTGAGTGAAGGCGAGCCATCTCTTGTCTCAAACGCAGCTTCTCCTCTCGCTCACGGGCTAACTCTTCCCTGAACCTTCTCGACTAGTGATGGCAATGGGTAAGACAAATATGTGAAAAACTGTATAGATAGCGACACTCAGAAGACTCCAAGAGGTTAACAACAATACCTCAACCGCTCCGCTTCAGTGCTTCCACCACCAGTCTGCGCGTTTACCCTTTTAACGACATCTGAAGACACTCCCACAGTTCTGAAATAGGAAGAAACAATCGATAAAGTACGAAGTACAGAAAACTGAGCAGGTAAACACGTCCACTCACTTGTACTCCTCAGGAATTTCATTTCTGTCAATCCGGACTACATCTGGCTGTTCCTCTTGACTTTGAGCAGAGCCCATGCCTGAAGTGAAATTATGACGTATGTTTTTTGAACAACTGAACAGCAATAAATAAGGCGAATATCAAGAAATAGCACAACAACAACAACATGTTGCCGGTCGGTTGAATCTTTTTGCACAGCATATTGTACGAGCTATTGCGGTCTTCCTTCGTTGAATCTACGTAATATTGCGGAATGGGCTGAAAGTGTAGATCGAATGTAATAAGCCTTCATGAGTAACCTTATTTGATTTTAGATTC